TAATAAATATGAGCATCAATTCACTTTGTTTTGTTCACAGGAGTAGAATCATAGTAATAGTAATAATAATAAATATGAGCATCAATTCACTTTGTTTTGTTCACAGGAGTAGAAGTAGCAATAGTAATAATAATAAATATGAGCATCAATTCACTTTGTTTTGTTCACAGGAGTCAGAAGTCTAAAAACTAGTAATAATAAATTAATAATCACATTTTATCTGAAATCTCCTTTGCCGCTTCCGAAATCGCTGTTCTCCAATCCTTTTGCACCATTATGGACATGTACGGCGCGTCTCGCCCACAGAGCTGGCGCCTAATCGCCAGGCAGCACTAATTAGGTGCCAAAATTTGAGGTCACTTCGCACCTAGTCGCGACGCAGCACTAATTAGGTGCTAAAATTTCCATTCGCACCACTTGATACACACCCGGTTCTCCCCACTCTTGTTCGGATTCACGGAGAAATACATTACGGGGTAGGCGTGTTCCCTGTTTTTCTTTTGCCCGAGTTCACATGTACCCTCACATGTACGCCGCTACACATCATTGCAGGAAGCGAGTTCTGAGCGGAGTGAAACTACCTCATTTCCAAGGTACAAGCGGGCCATTGAAACGCTCACGGAGTTCGATGAGCGTAAAATTAAGATCATATTGACGCTGAATTTCGACGGTGTCAGGCTGAAGAAGCTTTCACGGTGACTCAATTTCGCTTAAGTCAAGCTGGCTCGTTCAGTTGATCGTGATTTCACTAACTCAAGGTCCGAGGCATGGCCTATCTACATCCGTCTCGAGGGGCTTCCATTCAAGGAGAAAAACAAGATCGAAAACGTAATTTTGGCTGGAATCACGTTCACAAGAAAAACTCCCACGGAAAAGCTTCTAACCGAAATGTTTGGGCGGTCAGTTATTTACTAAGTCCAGTTTAGTCAATCCTATTAGAGGGTTGAACCTGGTGTGTTTCAGTCTTCGTGAAGAACTTGCAATGCTGAGCGAGAACGGTATTCCCGTATCACACAACGGTACTACTTGGTTCTGCACCCCGATACTGGCTAATGGTGTCATCGATTTCGCCGTGGGTTTTGTAGCTACAAAGGCTGTCGGAAAGGAAATCATTGAGTAGTGTGAAGTGTTTCAGGCCTTGAAAACTTTGTACGACATTACCCCGCTGGCAGTCTTTGTATGGATGCCATCTCTGTACTTTCCCGGGCGAAAGAGTTGGCCACCGAGTGATTTGGTTTCCCAGATTCCCTTTTGCTGGAGACCGTCGCACATACGCTTCGCTAACTCAAGATGCGATAACGCGCTCTCAAGGCGTAAGAGGTTAGCTATTGGCATTGGGCACATCCGCGCCCTTCCCCACTGGCTGTTACGCAACAATGTAGTAGACATTTTGTACAGGTCGGACGCAGATGATGGACATGTTAATGGTGCATGAATGCATACCGGATGCGCTGCATGTGATATCAGAAGGCATAACTTGCGACATTTTCAAAGGTTAATTCGCCTTTGCGATCTCTATTTCCTATGCGTCGAAAAGGACCACTTTAGCCATGTTTTCTTCGCAAAGCCGCGTGCCCGCGATGAAAGTGCGTCCGGAGTGCCTGCAGGAGTTCTATCGCATCATAGCCACTACTCGTAATTATACGTACGCGGATAAGTTCGTTCTTGGACTTGAAGACTTTTCGGGTACCACCGGGTCTGAGAAGGACGCTGTAAGTGGAAGCCGTCATACTGATGTTCTTTAAGGAGGAGTCGATTCTACGTGTTCGAAGTAGATTTTAGCTTTCTTTCGTGGTGTTCCCTCTTGCGGCCGCGATGAATATCTGCGCTGATCCTGTGGGTGCTGTCGCCGTGCTTGCATACTGGATACTCGTGCGAGTCATTGAGAAGGAGCACGAGTTGACAGTAAACGACTCCCTGGAGTGCAAGAACTAGCTAGGGGGATGAAGTACTGTGGTACGCGGTGGAGCCGACTTTGTTCACCCTTAAAGTCCATGTAAGTGTCGTAGTATCATCCTTGCAAAATCTTGCATAGGTGTATGCAAGCGTCTTAATATCGAGTCCTTCGCTCACTGATCTGCAGTGTTTTGTCGACCATGCAATCCTGGAGGACCTATTTGACGTCGGGACACCATATCGTTGGAGTGCGAGTTCCTTCGAAAGCACGCATCGGCGCCTCTAGCTTCGTACTTGGGATGGTAAGAAAGTCCTGAGCCGATTTTTCGAAAGCTCCAGAACTTTCGCTTATTGATCGATACCTAGAATCTGCTACGTGATAGATTATCGCTGTCGATCATACTTCTCCGCAGTAGGTATATATTGCCGGGTTGCCTTCTTTAACTTTAATCATGATGTCGATTCCACAAGAGCACTTTCGAGCGATCATCTTCAATGAATGGCGCTGCGGCACAGGAGCAGTGGAAACCGTCAACATTATCAGCATCGCACTGGGAAGGGACACCACTTCCATCATCGGTGCCAAGCTCTGGTTCGCAGGCTTCGAAGGAGGAGACACGGCTTCCGAAGACAAGACAAGGTTGGGAAGCCCCCAAACAGTGGAAGACTCCACCGTTCTCGGCGCTGTCGAAGAGGATCCGGAGGTTAGCACCCGCAGCCTTGTGACAAGACTCGGGTGTACCATTCCCACAGTGCTCAGTCCCCTCCACGCCCTCGCCACAGGAGAGTGCCCATTCGATGGATCCCTCACGTCCTTAGGCATTAGTCCGCGTTAGTGGTACTTCATTTGACAGATTCTCCTCTTTGCCCGCATGCTGAAAGGATTTTTGAAGCATGCTTACGAGAAGAGATGGATCCTCTAGCGAATCTAAACAGCACGTGCCGTGTGCTTCCTCAGACAATGATCCGCGACACAAAAAATTGGACCTTCACCCCAAAAGCTGTCTCCTTTGCTACCTCTGGGATTCGTGAGGAATGCTGTATATGAGATGCTCCCGTAAAGACATACCGCTACCGGCAGCATTTACGCCAGTCAGCTCTAGAAACTAGCGGACGCTGTTCAAGAAAAACGACCGAGACGAACTTCTGTCCACCTACTCCACGATGACGCCAGGCCCCACATAGCTAAAGAGACTTACTTACTTAGACTTAGTTCCACCCGTGCTAGCACATCGGCGAAACTAATTCTTCCCCCTTGCTGACAGATTTGGCAACGTATTCACCCTCGTCACTCTAACATCCATGATCTCTTTAGAATGCATTATCGAATGTTCGTCCCATGTTCTTCTGGGACTGCCCTTGCTCTTTGCTCCCTGGTGATGCATACATTGGCCTTTCGGAATAGTCATATTGAGTCATACTAGCATAGGTCCCAGTCCCGCGGAGTCTCGCGTGCATCAACCACGTTGGAGACGCTCATTACTGGCGGGGCTCAGGACCTCGCATCGATTAGTGATGTGGCTGAACCGTATTTCAGTTTCGTGTGGGGCGTTCTGGTCTTGGGTCTTCTTTGATTCGTATAATTTTCATGATTCGGCGAAGGCAACGCTGATGAAAGGCATTTATTTTCTTAACGAGTCCAGCAGTTATTTTCCATGTCTCACTTGCATACAACGCGGTGGAAATCACGATTGATTGGTATAGGCGTATCTTGATGTTGTGTGAAATGGAAGTCATTGCCCATACTGGCTGAAGTCGTTGAAATACAGTTGCTGCTTTTGCTATTCGTATCCGTGCATCTGTTTCTGCATCTCCATCACAAGCAACTACACTTCCAAGATAAGTGAATTTTCCCACAGTCTCCAATTGTTTTGCATCAACATTGATGACCGTTTGCACATCATTGGGGCCAATGTTCATGACTTTCGATTTTTCGGCGCTGATGCGCAAGCCGATCAT